GGGGTTTATGGGGGTTTAGGGGTTAGGGCTTTAGAGGTTTAGAGGTTGGGGTTTAGGGGTTAGGGCGTCAGATTTTTAGAGGTTTAGGGTTCAGCGGTTTAGGATTTTAGGGGTTTAGGGTTTAGGGTTTAGGGGTTTAGGTGTTCGGGCTTTAGAGGTTTAGGGTCTAGGGCTTGAGGATGTTAGGGGTTTATAGGGGTTTAGGATTTTGGAGTTTTAGGGTTTAGGGGTTTAGGATGTTTTTAGCTTTAGGGTTAAGGGTTTAGGGTGTAGGGGTTTAGGGTTTATGGTTTTTAGGGGTTTACGGTTTAGGGCTGGCTTTAGGGTTTAGGGTTTAGGGTTTAGGGTTTAGGGTTTAGGGTTAAGGTTTAGGTTTAGGGTTAGGTTAAGGTTTAGGGTAACAGGTTTAAGGTTTAGGGTTTTGGAGGCGGAACCCTTCGCTGTCCTCTAACTGGCTCTTAGGACATTAACTTGCAAATATGGAGGCTCAACAGGAATTTCACTTGTGACACTACTTCTTCACCCCGTCAGCCTACCCTAAACCCGGGACCCTAAGCCTAAGCCTTGAAATTCAAATCTGTAAACCCCCAAACTCAAGACTTAAGCCATAACGGTAAGCCTAGCCCAAGAGCAAGTTCCGGGCCCTAAAAGGACCGCCCCTTTCGAGCTTGGGGTGGTCGCGTGGGGCTTCAGGGTCCGTGGATTTGGGGGGTTTAGGGTTCCGGGTGTGGGGTTTAGGGTTTAGGGTTTCCAGAGTGCACCACAACCTTGATAGAGTTGTAGGGATGCTCCTCAGCTAGGGTGGCTGGAAATCCCCAGGCGGAACTTAAATTTTGGCCAGCAGCACTGCAGTATTCCAAAGGGTTCCCACATGGTTACCCGGGAAGACCCCTAGTCTAATTCAGTACCTCTACACCCTGGAACCTAAACCCTAAACTCTAAACTCTAAAACCCCTAAAACATAAACCCTAAACTCTAAACTCTAAAACCCCTAAACCATAAACCCTAAACTCTAAACTCTAAACCCCCCCCAAAACCTAAACCCTGAGCCCTAAACCCGAATGCTCTTCGCAAAGAAGTGTTGGCAGGACTTTTGGTGCGACCGCTACGGCAGCCAAACCATGGCACTGGCCCCGGAAGGGGCTTCGGGCCCTAGATAGCGATTGGGTTTGGGCTTCAGAGTTTAGGGTTTAGGGTTCACAGTTTAGGGTTTCGGGTGTGTAGGTTTAGGGTTTAGGGCTTATAGTGAGTGTGGCTAAAGGTTTAAAGTGTCGAGGTCGTATGATTCCGGCTCTCGTGTATAGGGGTTTGAGGGTTCAGGCCCAATTCCTGATTGAATCCCCGAGCCGACAGGACTTCGAGCACCTTACCCGGTTTAGGGTTTAGGGGTTACGTTGCAAGTCGAGTTGTGCTAGGTGCGCTGTAGGCTAACCTGCGTTGTTCAGTGGTGCACTACGTAGTTTGCTTTTTTCTGTTTCTGGGCTTCTACCATGTAGTATGATTATCCCCCAAAACTATATACTGATTCCCTGTGGGTTCCTGAGCAATCTAGTAGAACTTCCGAAGGTGATGACCTACAGCCCCATCCGTGGCAAAGTGGGTGGAGAGCTCTCCAAGGCACCCAAACTGGTGGCACGTGCGGAGGCGCGCCAGGGCGCAAGCAGGGCTCCTTCAGAAGTTGAAGATTTCTTGGGGCGTTTGGGCGTTCCCGAAATGTCGGATGTGAAAGGGTTCTAGGGTTTTCCTGGCTTTTTCCGTTGTGTTGGTCTTAGGCAATAGAATTTTGTTGAGGGCGTTCAGGTTTAAACTCTAAACCCTGAACCCTAA